TAATCAGTGAGGGGATTCTGCAGACTGTTGAGGGTTCAGCCTCCTGATGAGTCGGTGAAACTCCGACGAAACAGTTTGTCACAGCCCCTCGTTTTGTTGTCCTCTTCTCTCTCTCTGCCTACGGTTTTACCGGGCAGTTCTGTTTGTGACGATATATATAATATATACTTTTTCGGAATTCTTTTATCGGATAATCTTTTGCAGTCTGAAAGTTTGAAATTTTTTCCTCATTGGTAATTTCGCACTTCAGGGGGAATTGGGAGGCCTACTGAACTTGCAAACGAGTTTTTTTTTTCTTTCTTTCTTTCTCTCGAGTATTTTTGCAAAGTTGAAACTTTTCTTTTTGATTAGTGGCTCCTTATCTAGACGATCAACCCACCCCTGCGGCAGCATTGGTGAGTTGCCACGTCAGCAGGCCACGTCAGCAAGCCACGTTAGCAGACAATCGTGCCACATCAGCAGTTGAGTAGTGCCACGTCAGCAGCAGGGAGTGCCACGTCAGCAGTCCTTTGGCCTTGTCTATGCTCACGTGCTTACAAACAGCCGGCATGGGTCAGAAGTCCGGGAAAACGGTCGAGGCCTATAAGGCCCGGATGCTGGCTTTGATTACCGAAGCCAAGAAACGGGCGGATGAGGTAATAACGCCCCTGGTTAACCACGTGTGTCGCAGAGAAGAAGAAGGTAGAGGACTCCGAGAAGGCATGTCTGTTGGCAATCGAACAGCAGCACCAGCAAGACGAGGCAGCAGCAAAGGTTGCCGATGAAGAACGAAGTCAACGACGCGATAAATTCAACGGAGAGCGAGCCTTGCTCACAATAGCAGCGGACTGGCGGGCCGAGGCCGAGAATGGTAAGATGGAAGAGAGTGAAAGCAAGATTGCTCTACTCCTGTCCCATTTCACGGATCTCCTGGCAATGTGCATTGCACAGCAGGAGGACATCCACAACCTCGACGACGAGGTTTAGACGCACAACCAAGCGTTTGATCAAGTCAACAGCCGCCTCGAGCATCTGGAGCAACGACCCGTCACCGCCCCCGATCGCCTCAATGCATTGGAGATCGAAGTCGAAAACCTCAAGGACGACACGCAACTACAACAAACCGCCATGGAACAACTGGAGCAGCGGATCTGTGTTGCCGGCGGCAACCCGAGTTCGACACCTCGCGAGACGACTCCAAAGTTCGATGGTCATGAGATCTTCTGCGATTCGACGAAGACGGATTTAATTCCGTGGTTCCGCAAGTTCGAGCTCAAGTTGCAGCTACACCACGTCAGCGAGGACAAGCATCATGCGTGCTTATACTCCCGGTCGGGGGCCGCGTGCCAAGCATGGTTGGACAATCTCTTGTCCAAGTACGGGGTGGTAGTTGTCGACTTGTACACCAAGATCAACCAGGATGATCTAAAGGCGGTTTGGCATAAGCGGTTCCGAGTAGAGCCGTCGAAGATCAAGGCGATGAACAAATTGCTGACCTTTGAACAAGGCACGCTGCCGAGTGGTGACTGGATTGCCGATTGTCCACGTCCTTGCATATAATCATCATCGATAGCTGGCGGCATATTGGCCACGTCCCAGCACATAATCATCATCGATAGCTGGCGGCATACTGGCCACGTCCCACCACATAATGATCCCGCGGTTGGATCCCGCGGTTGGCGGCACACTGGCGACGTCCCAACCGACGCTGAGGGCACATTGGCCACAACCCAGCATGTCCAGGCTGATGCTAGACGGCTCACGAGCCTCGCCTCATCATTCTGTCCGAACTCGGAATCAAATCTGCATCTCTGAGTATGAATTTTCGAAGTCGGGAGCCGGATACTATACCATGGGATTTCGTGCCATCCATCTCTGCTAGCTCATTAGCCTTGCCTTTCACCTCTCTGATGATCCTGAAAGGTCCCATCCACCTAGCCTCCAATCTCTTGGTCCTCTGTGTCTCGAGAGATGTATCATGCAGAAGTCCAATATCCCCGACCTGAAGGTGTTCCTTCTTGATGTACCTCTTGCTGTTCTATCGTGTCTGATCAGATAACCTGTTGTCGGACATCCTCTTTGTGGCCTCAATTATGGCTTCATCCCCTTCCTTGATTTGCCTGATCCTCAGCCTCAACAACTCCTATGTGGAGTATGTCTCTCTCTGTGCCTCATGGGTCCAGGTCTCAACCAGGTTCTCAATGGGAGAAGTAGCATACCCGTCGTACCAGAGTGTAACAGGTGCATAACCTGTAGTTCGTTTGACAGTCACATTGTCAGCATAAACAACCACTCTCAAGAAAGATGGTCAGTTTCTAGAATCACCTGGT